GTATCCGAAGCATTAGCCAAAGTCCTTCCAAGTACAAAGGTGTTTAATCAGATCACAAAAATATATCAGCAACTAGTAGAAAAAATATTTCATGATGAAATATAGGTAAGAAGATGTAAGGTATTAGTTCAGTGGGAGGTCGACAATGGTATAACCTCCCAAGAAAAAAGAATTAGCCCCAAGGTAGATGTAAAAAAGACTACGAGTAGTACAAGTAAGGGGAAGCGAAGTAAGGTAAAGTGAACAGGCTCTACTCAGATAGTTGATAATAAAGATAAAAAGGTAATAGAGAGAAAGAAGGAGGTCTTTAAATTGTTTGTTGAAGGAATGCATGAAGTTGTACAGAATGGAGTGAAACCATTCTGGTTCGGTTTTTGACAGAGCTGACAAAGTCACCTGACACATGTGTGGGTCAGTACGACAAGTCGCATCTGGGCGCAGCATCTGTAGCCGAATGATGCCGGGCTTGCAATTGCAAAGGATATTTACTAGAAATAGGTTTTATTTTAGAACAGATTTCACTATGTAAATATTTGTATTTAAGTACTAACAAGGCTGTTAAAGAATAAAAAAAAAAAAAAAAAAAAATACCAATATAGGTCTTTATTATGAAATCTCGATAGTCTTAAATCTAAATCTAAAATCTTATTACAAATAAAATTCTGACGAGCCAAAATTTTATTAAAGAAATAACTCTAACATACTATGAATCAGAAAAAAAGCTTCAAAAAATGAACCAAAAACAAAAAAATATATAGAAATAAATATTTAAACCTATTATGGAACATTAATAGCTAATATAAAAAAAAATTCAGAAGTATTTGCTCTAATATCAAACTAATTAATCTTATTTAATAATCATTATATGGCTACAGTACCTATTACTTCTGCTTTAACTATTATCATAATATCTATAAACTTTATCTATTATAACTCTCAACTTCATATTATTGGTTTATATTATAGTCAGGTTTTTATATTAGTTTGGATTATGAAAAATAAGTTTTCAAAAATAAAAAGACAACTTAAATTGCTGAGTTTCATTAACTTATTGTACCTATAAGCAAAACTTAACCGTTCAAACATACCTCTTATCTAACTTCTAAATTACTTTGTGAATTGCCAAATTACTTTGTCAGTATATAAAACGAAACCTCTACTTTTAAATTCTTTTGGTCTTAACTCTTACTAACTTGTCATCATGCTTACTAATCTATTTTTGTGCTTGCAAAACGTTATGCAATATGTCTTTTATTGTGTAATATTTTGGTCAATCATCCAATCAGAATGAAAGCCCACTATGCTAACGTAAGTTATTTCGAATTATTTCAAATTATTTTGAAATATTGTGAAATATATCTCAGAATATTACGAAATAAATTTCAAAATATAATATAAGTTAATTCGAAATAATTCGAATTATTTTAAAATAATTTAAAATTTATTTCAAAATAAGATAAATATATACATCGTACTATGTGATATGCTAATTTAACGCATGTATATTTTAAATTTTAATTTGTAGATCTGTGTAACAAGAATTTTATATACGCGAATACTAGATTAGAATTAGAATTAGGGTTAGGGTTAGTAGTTAGTGGTTAGAGTAAAGTGTAGAATATACCAAAATTTTGCGAGAAATTTTTTTTGTTAGAGCTCAAAAAGCAGTTTCATAGACATTATTTTGAGCTATTTCAAAATTTTAAAAATTTCTTTATTTTTGTTACATGAAATTAATTTGCATGTTACACCTGATCTTCAAATTTAATTGGTCAATTCTTAAAATGCGATGTATAAGCACATCACAGCATGTGATGCCTAATTGAGTCCTTAAAAAATATTATTTATTTACCAATTTTGTATGTTAGATATTGCAGTTTGATATTTTATATTAATATTATTTTGTTTAGATAAAAAACATGATTCATTATTTTCATTACTTTCATTATTTTCATCAATTTCATTATATTCATTTTCATTATTATTTTCTTCTTCATCTATATTTTCTTTTTTATCACTTTCTAATCTTTTAATAAATGATTTAACATTATCAAAAACTCCTTTTTTATAATATTGAATACAATATCTACATTTATTTTCTATTTTTTATAGCAATTTAAATGATATCCATGTCCACAAATTAAAATTATTCCATTTGATTCATTAGTTTTTATAAATATTTGTTTACATTCATCATATTGATCTAATGTTGGTAGAAATGATGAGTGATTTCCAGTAGGAAGACATCTGATATCTACTATTTGAAGATTTGTTAATATAATTTTTTTTTTGTTTTTGTTAAATTTAGTTTTTTCAATATTTTTATAAATAGAAGAAAATAGTTCTAATAAAAATATTGATATTTTTTTAATTAATATATCTAATGTTGATGAAGAATAAGGATATTTTTGAGTATTTTTAAAAGAATTTATTTTTTTATTTTATTTTTTTTTTTAAGGTGACCTTTATAGCTGGGGACTTTTTATTAGATAATTAACAATGTTTACAATTATGATGAGGGTCAACTAGCCACACGTACAACTTTTGGTTGTCTATTTTAAGTGGTCCACCTGAGTTCTACACTAGTTGCCATAACTGCAATCTAGCTAGGAGATTACCTATTTAAGCTCTCTGACTTTTACAAGTGAGAATATGACTAGCTATACTTGCAACTTTTGGTTGCCTATTTAAGTAGTCTGCTCGAGGTTCCACACTAGCTACCATATCTGCAATCCAACTAGAGGATTACCTATTTAAACTCTCTGGTCACAACCGACCCATCATTTCTTACCTAACCAAGGTGTAGCTCACTATTCCCATATAGATTTTGCAACACTTATAGATTTCGCAGCCTATCTAGGTCTACTTTATCCTTGAAGTAAACCTAACAGAGTGGTACATGTCCCACAGATGTATTCACCTGCATGTTCAGTAACTTTTTCCTTGACTTGTATGTGTTGTGCTACTATCACTGGGTTCGTATCTCAAGCTATCCTTTAGGATACTGCTGTAATCTGATCTGTATTTCAAGCCACAACCTTCCTAATTAGTCTTCAATTACGTACTCTTGCCTTTGCAGGGTTCACACAACCCCAGTACCCACATTCAGACTTTATTTCTTCCTTAGATTCTTTACCGGTCTCTCTATTACTTCTAGCCGGC